CCCCAAAACCCCAAAACCCCAAAACCCCAAAACCCCTTTATTTAGAAACTACTGAAACACTATAATTTAATGGAGTCTAAGATCAAGATTGTCACCCCAGGTGATACTATTGGTAGCACTGGGAAAGAACATGAATTAGGAGCCAACCAAGATTCAATCAGTGGTCCTGGAACTTATACTGAAGACGGAATTATTTACTCAAGTCTTGCAGGAATTGTCTCAAAAATTGGAAAATTAATCATGGTAAAGCCACTGAAAAAGAAGTATGCACCCCTAACTGGAGATATTGTTGTTGGAAGGGTTGTCAGCGTGGAGCATAATCGGTGGAAAGTTGATATAAATTCATACCAACATGCTAACCTCTTGCTCACTGCTATCAATCTCCCAGGAGGTGAGCAAAGAAGGAGATCAGATGAAGATAAAAGCATCATGAGAGAATACTTTAAGGAGAATGATATCATTAGTGCTGAAGTTCAGTCTCTTAATAGTCATGATAGTTCAATTTTCCTTCAGACAAGGAACATGAAATATGGTAAAATTAAGAATGGATTCTATCTGAAAGTGAACCATAACTTGATTAAAAGGATGAAAAATCACTATCTGAATGTTTCTGTCAAGAATGTCTCTGTGATTTTAGGTAATAATGGCTATATTTGGATTTACTATAACCCAGCAGCTTCAAAGAAAGTAGCAGAGGTGGATATGATCGATGCTCTCATGAGAGGAGAACATCATGAACTTAACCTTCAAGAAGCAGTAGAAATCCCAAAAGAGGTCGCAATTGGGCTCTCCAAAGTCAGGAACTGCATAGTTGTTCTTGATAGGCTAAATTTACCAATATTTGAGTATTCCATCAACAAATCATTGGAACTTACTGAAGAAGTTGAGGCCCCATTTGATATCCTGGTCAATAAGGAAATAATCAATTCTATTGAAGATGCTATTAAGGATTACATCAATGAAAATTACCTGAATAATTTTTCAAGCCTAAAGGACGAAGGAATCATGGAAGTAGATAATGACTTCAATTAACTAATTCCTCATGAGTAACTATATGTCTCAGTATTCAATATTTCTTGTAATTTTTGGGGTTTTGGGGTTTTGGGGTTTTGGGGTTTTGGGG